ATTTCAAAGAACAACATTTTGACTTTGTTCATAATTTCTGTTTGCTTGATTCCATCAGCTCTTCACTACCATTATTTCCTATTTCTTTGCATTGACTTGTTGCTTTTTGCCTGTCTTCAGTTAAATGCTTAGCTTGTTTATTTCCAATCTTTCTTGCTTTTGTATAAATTTAAACTGTAAATTTCATTGTCTACTGCTTCAATCGTGTCCCACAATTTTTTTATTTTTACTTTTTAGAGATGGGGTTTCTGTCACCGAGGAGAGTAGAGTGCAGTTGGGCGATCAGCTCACTGTAACCTAAAACTCCTGGGCTCAGCTGTTCTCCTGCCTCAGCCTTCCAAGTTGCTGGGACTACAGGAACACACCACCATGACCGGCTACTGTTTTAAAAAAAAAAAATTTCTTGTAGAGACAGGGTCTCACTACGTTGCCCAGGCTGGTCTCAAACTCCTGGCCTCAAGTGATCCTCCTGCCTTAGCTTCCCAGAGTATGGGGATTACAGGTGTGAGCCACCATGCTATTACAGAATAGTCCTCGTACAAATTCTGTGATGTAGCGATTTTGTTATTATTTTCCTCTAAGATGTGAATAATTCCCCTTATGGCTTCCTCTTATTCCGTTGTAGGTTTTGCATTTTCCAATCGTGTGGTTTTTAAAAGCTATCATTTTGCTTTACATTCTCATTTTTTCATTGTATGATCAGAGATGGTTTTAGATACGATATTGGCTCTTTGGAATTGAGGTTTCTTTAGCGGCTTAGTACATAGTTGATTCTGAAAGGATATGGAATCTGTGCTGGCTTGAACGTTCTGGACTTATTAATCAGGTTATTCAAATGTTTTATATCTTTGCTTGTATTTTATTGGTTTGAGTACAGTTTCTGAGAGAGGTGTTAAAATCTTCAAGTGCAATTACTGGCTTATCTCTTTGTTTTCTCTCTTTCTCTCTGTTTCTCTCTCTCTCTCTCTCTCTCTCTCTCTCTCTCTCTCTGTTTCTCTCTCTCTCTCTCTGTCAGTATTTCAAAACTGACAGGCTCTTATTCCAAACAACTTCTCCTTGCCCAGTGTTCCCAGGGTCCTCCCACGTGTCTTGGAGGTTGCCTTTTGTTGATATTTAACTCGTCCTCTGGTCTGTGACTTCGGCTTCTGCTGGTGTGGGTTGCTTAGTTGCTGTCTTCTCTTGGTGGATGAGCTCTCCTGGTGTCTGTTTCCCGCCCCACCCCCTGCCCCTGGGAGTCCATAGTTCCCTGGGACTCAGCTCTATTGGCTGGTAACACATAACTGGGGAAGTAGTGAAGGCTCAGAATTGAGTACTTAATCTCAGCTGCACATTAATAGCACCTGGGAAGCTTGAACACTACTGACTCCTTGCTCCCTCCTGCAGAGATTCTTGTTTGATCCATCTGGGTGTGGGTCTGGGCACAGGAATTCTAAACCACTCTCAGAAGGTTCTAATGTGCAGCTGAGGTTGAGAACCCTGTGTCCCCTCCACAGAAGGATGAAGAGGCGGGGGATAGATGTGTCTTGGGTGTTCCCACCTGTGCCAACCTCTGCCTGTGTGCCCTCCCCATTGGGAGTCCAGCCCTCAGGACCCTCCCAGACCTTTGCCCCCGCACCACCGTTTCCAAGATGTGTGTCTCTGCAACAATCTGACCCAAGGTGTGGGGTGAGGGGAGGAGGGGGCTCAGGGTCAGCCAGCTGCCCTTCCTGTGCTGCCCTCTGCTCCCGTGGTGGGCTCTGGCTCACACCCCTCCCCAACCTGCAAATGGATGAAAATGACCAGCCTAGGGCAATGTGGGAGAGATGAATGGGCATAGCCAGAAAACTGACCGTCTGCCATCTTGTCTGAGGCACCTGACCTTCTTTTACTCTGCTCAAGACTTTATTGAGGCTTCTTGGCTGGCGTGGTGGCTCATGCTGTAATCCCAGCACTTTGGGAGGCCGAGGAGGGTGGAACACTGGAGGTCAGGAGTTTGACACCAGCCTGGCCAACATGGTAAAACCCTGTCTCTACTAAAAATACAAAAGTTAGCCAGATGAGGTGGCAGGTGCCTGTAATCCCAGCTACTCAGGAGGCTGAGGAGGGAATTGCTTGAATCCGGGAGGCAGAGGTTGCATGCAGGGAGCCGAGATCACACCATTGCCCTCCAGCCTGGGTGACAAGAGCTAAATTCCACTTCAAAAAACAAACAAATGAACAAACAAACAAAAACGTGGCTGAGGCTTCTGATGCCCATGTTCATAAAGCAAGGCAGGCTTCCCATTTCCTTATGTGCATTATCCGTATCTAGTTTGGAATCAACTTATCTCTGAAGTTCTCCAGCCCATGACACCTGAGCCCCTGGCCATTTTAGTGTTGGGTCCTGTGATCCACCACCTCCTTCCTTTTTCTCTTACCCTCCCACCAGAGCTGGGTTCTAGAAAGACACACAGCAGCCTGTGGCAGTTCCGCTTCCTGTCCCACCGTCACCACCATGGACTGATGCCAGCTTGCAGCCAGGCATTGTGTTGGGATACTGCAGCTTCAGAGCTGAGCCAGGCAAGGCTCAGCTTTCATACCTTTGTCTGCTCTCTCTGGGACCAATATCAGGGCATGTCCAGGGAGGCCTGTCGTGGGCATCATGGGCCCTGAACTGCTGGTGTCTGTCCTTCTAGGGCCCCTTGGCAATTGAGTCCAGTTCATCTGTTTACTTCATTCACTCTAAGGAGTTTATTCAGAGAGTATTTGCTGATGTCCACCATTTTTCTAGGCCTGTGCTGGGCGCTCTGGGTATATAATTGGCAGGGGGAGGGCATAACAAATGAAGCATGGACCCCTTCTTCCAGGAGCACATAACCTAATGAGAGGTTCAGGGGGCTGTGATGCAGTGACACGTGGTCCCCTGTGCTAGGCACAGGCAGCTTAAGGGGAGAACCATTCATTACCTTTGCTTCCAAGACATCAGGACGGACATGACAGAGGAGGTACGGGAACAGGTTCTTGAAGGATGAATAGGAGTTTTCCACGCAGAAAGTTGGGGGAAAAGCATTCTAGGCAGAGGGAATATCATGTGCAAAGGTAAGGAAGCACCGGGGAACAGCAAGTAATTCAGCAGGGCCATCAGTGGGAGGTGAGCCAGGCCCAGGAGGGAGGGGCTCAGAATCACAGGGACTCAGCCTTCATTCCTAGGGTAATGAGGGGCTATGAAGCCGGGTGAGTGAGGAGTCCTGTTGGCTGGGTCTGGACTGTGTTGGGGATGAACGACAGGGCGATGTGGGAGGCGGGCGTGGCTTGGGGCAGATGCTGCGATCCAAGTGAGAGGCCCTGTGGCCGGAACTAACACCACAGCAGCAACAAGGGAATACAGTGGCTGGCGCCGCAAATAGGTCTAGACAACAGATCTGTCCCGCAGCAAATGAAGCGGTCCCAACAGGCTCCAGGTGGGGGCGCGGGTGACTCTAGGGGGAGATAGTGGAGCTATCCCAGAGATGGGAGAGCTGGAGGAGGGGCCGTTTAGGGCTTGAGACAGGATGGTTTATTCAGCTCGGCATGTGCTGAGGTCAAGGTGAGTGTGGGACCTCCACATGGAGACCTCTAGGTGGTCGCTGGAGCTGCGTGGCTGGAGCTCGGAGTGACTGACCAGCGACAGAGCTAAGCACCGTCATGTATGGGACACAGATGGGAAGAGAAAGCCCTGAGTGTTGGGGGTAAGATGGTGGACAGGCTGGGAACCAGCAGCTGGAGGCACAGGGAGATGTCAGCTCAGGTGCGTGAGACCCGTGGGACACGCAGAGGAGGAATGGGCTGCCAGGCTGGCCCGCTGAGGCTGCGCTGCACCTGCTCTGGGCACCATGAGCCTCCTCCTTGGCTGGTCGCTACCGCCTTGGCATAGGCCAGTGTACATTTCAGCTCCTTGCAGCCCCGGGGCCCTGGGCATTGGTCTGTCTGTTCCAAGCAGTGCTGGAGGCTGCATCCTTGACACCAAAGGCCATCACTTGTACTTCCTTGGTGTCTCCAGACCCAGCACAGAGGAGGGACTCTGCACGTTCTGTGGACAGTAACACAACCCAGGCCCCCCAGAAAGACCTGGCATGCCACGCAGTCTCTGCTGCATGCGAAATGCCCTGCTGTGTCCTCTTTCCATCTTCCCAGGGCAAGCCATGGAGGGAGGGGAACTGTGTCTCCTTAGACAGACACATGGTGCGGGAGACCCATCGAAAGCCACGTGGTCAGGAGGTGGCAGAGCCCGAACTGGAATCCAGCATCAGCTGTGCCGTGCTGTGCCATGCCATGGGTTTCCTGTGGAGTCCTCTGGGTCGCTTTTCCTCTCCTACTGTAAACACCTGAGACATCCCAGAGGGTGGGGGTCTGGGATGTGAAGGAGACATGGCTGGTGACCGGGGTAAGCGCTGGCTAAGGTGGCTGTGCTCAAGCTCCTTTCTGCCCAAGTCTGGTGTGAACAGGCTGCAGGCATACTGGTGTCTGGCCCAGAAGCACAGATTGTGCTAAGAGGCAAAGAGCTTTGATGGTGGACCCTGAACTGCAGGCTCCTCAGAAGGAGCCCTGCCCCTGTCCCTGGCCCCGTAGCCTCCTTAGCTGGTGTCTGGAGAGGTCCCTCACAAGCAGGCGAGCAGTCGGGACAGGACTGAAACCACCCAGACTCCGGCCGGCTGTGCGCCCCCAGACAAGGGCGCAGGAGGTGAAAAGGCACCAAGCGCCCCCGGCCTTTCCTGCTGGGGCCACCTCGCGGGAACCATGCCTGCCTTCCCAGCAACTGGGCTTTCTCCTTCCAGGAGCACCCAAGGGCTGCCACCAGAGAATGGCGAGGTTTCCTGCATCCCTCAGAACCCCACTGACTTGTAAGCAGGTCATCTCAAAAGGGGCAAAGAAGCCCACCAGCCCTTTCTAGAAGGCTGACAGCCCAGGCGGTGACAAGTGCCATGCTGGGGGAGAGCGCTGGGGGCTTGCCCTGAGGGACACTGACCTCTGCTGGCTTCAGACACCACGACAGCAAACTGGGGAAAGAGGTTAGAACAAATGTTTATTTAACAAATTATATTAAGAATACAGACAATCACACAGTGGACTTCCCTTGCCAAGTACAGGAGTCACCTTGAATAAATACGGAGCGGGACGCCATCCCTAAGGCCTTGTCCACGCCCGACACAGTCACACTGCAGCTCCACGGCCTGGGCTGAGGGAACAAAGCCCGTCTCTGGTGGTGACCCCCAGACATGTGCTCAGAGTGGCTGGAGGAGGCCAGGCTGCCCTGAGGGCACCAGGCAGCCCAAGCAGGGGCTGTGGGCTCAGGGGTGAGTGCCTGGCGTGGCCTCTGGGGGCAAGGCAGGCCATGAACCGAGTTCATGAGCTCGGCTGCTGCAAGGTCTGGGGCTTCTTCCTCAAGGCCCCCCTTCGCCTTCATCCTCGGGCCCACCCAGTTCTCCCGGAAGCTGCAGGCTGGGAGTCCCCACAGATGCCTGCAGGCTCTGGAGGACCCTGGTCTGGGTGGAGGGGTCCGGGTGGGCCACTCCTGACGGTGCTCAGCGCCCACTGCACAGTGGCCTGGTGACCAGCAGGGCCCAGTGGTGGCCAGGGAAGTCCGCGACAGGGCTGGAGTCAGAAAGGGCAGCCCTGGCCTGGGCTTGGGACGGTACAGCTGGCGGGGGGCCGGGGGCCTACACTTGCGTCTTAGCGGCCTGGTCCCACGGTCGAGCCTCGGCCTCTTCAACTCTAACAAGGAGCAAAGAACATCTACTTCAAGGTCACTCTGTTTTTAGGGGGAATGAAAGGAGAAATGTGCTTGGAGAGCCTGGCCAGGAGCGACGCTCACGCAGGTGAGTCCCTCGTGTCCTCCCACCCACCTGCTGAATGGCAGAGCGGATGCTAGCCAGCGCAGCGTCCTCCCTGCAAGATGAGGGTGGCCACCAGATAACAGGGGCCGGAGGGCCAGCAAGGGTCTAACCTGCATTCCTCTCCGTTACCCCACTGGGTCTCATCTCTCCAAGTGGTGGAGGGCGTGGCTGGCATCTGTTTTTGGACTTGGGTGGGAAGAAAGGCCTTCGTTATAAATTTGCAAGGGAGCCTGCAGCAAAGCAGCCACTCCTTGTCACCTTTGTGCCATTTCTAAGGCCTTTGGAAAGATACTTCAACTTTCCAGAGAGAAAGGGGAGGCTGGTGGGGACAGTGTGCTCTGGTTGGCTGTTCTGGAGGGACAGAGGCTGCCAGCAGGGACAGCAGAGTAGTGGGAAGTGCTGTGGGAGGGGCCTGAGGGACGAGGCCAGGACCCTTCACATTTCCAAGGGAACGCTTGTTCTTGCTTCCTACAGTGGCCAGAGGGCTTGTGGAGAAAAGCACTCTCCCAAAAGACAAAAACTCGTCATTCCTGTTTGAGCCAGAGCTCCACGCCTCATTCTCTTGAATAAGCCCCACTCAGTTGAGATTACTACACACACACACACACACACACACACACACACACACACACACGCGCATACGCTTGTCCTCAATCGCCTCTCAGAAGGCAAGAAATAGAGGGTTAGGAGCAGCCTAAAACCTACCACAGACACCAACTCGTCCTTAACACGGTCACCGCTTAATTATCTTAAGCTGCCATTTACTACAATGTTCACAGTCATTTACTCTTACGCAAAGTCCGTAATACTATGGAGAAGATGGCTCCGGCTCGCCTGAATCCATGTGGTTTGTGCTCCTTCTGGGTGGCCCTGTCCATCCAGCAGGAGGGCATGTGGGGGCACCTTGCCGGGGCCCCAGCTCGACAGGGGCCTGCGGGGCGTCAGTGGGGCTGTGGGAGCCCCTTCCTCTCCTGCAGCCGCCCTCAAGGCTCATTCTGCATCCTTGCAGATGGGGCTCCCACACCACTGCCTCTGAGCCTCCAAGGGTCCAGCAGAGCTGCCACAGGCCTCTTCCCAGTCATGGGAGCGGAGTGAAGGGCTCTGGCATTACCTGTTAGAGGCAATCTCACAACCAGGGCAGAAAAAGAGGTTGAAGGACAAAGCTCACAAACCCTAATGAAGTGGGCAGGGGTGGCCAGAGCTCTGCCCTCTGTCCTCCTGCCACGAGTAACCATTGCTGTTGGGCTTTGTCACACGGGCCACCACCCGCGAGGCCACAGCAGACACAGGTACTCTGGGCGCCAAAGGGCTCTCCAGGTCCCCAGAACCACACCGGCTTCTGTGAATGGGGCAGTGGCGGCCGGCCCAGCAGCTCCCTCCCTACTCAGCATCAGTGTCCTGCTGCTTGCCACCCAGGAGGCCTGAGAAGGCCACCCCCAGAAGGGGCATCCTCGGGTCTTGAGGAGGTTGAGAAGTGGCTGCCTTCCCTAATCCACAGAAATCAAGAGGTATCCGAGTGAAGATGGGGGTGGCAGAGGAGGAAGATGGGCCCACACAGGGGCCGGGGGCCTGGAGACGGAGGGGCTGGTGCAGGGGCATGAGGTATTCCGGCCCCACCGCCTCTTGGCCAGCTGTGCTGTCCGGTGCTACCTCCTGTTCCTCTGGGCCTCAGCTGGCATCACGGTGGGCTACCCAGGGCCTGCAATGGGAGAGGCTGTCCTTGCTGAGGCAGTGGCTTCTACAGACCCTGATACTGCAGCCCCCAACCACAGCACCAAGCCCCCACGTCTAAGAGCCAACTCTTGGGGACCCAAAGATGTCAGGTCCCCATACTCTGAGGAATCAGGACACAGCCCTATGCCTGACACCGCAGAGTGAGGCAGCCCTTCAGGGCGAGGGTCCGGGCCCCCAGGGACGACAGCCACCACTGCTTGGGCAAATGCACCTAGGGTTGAAGTTGGCACCGGCCCTGTGAGGACACCAGCACCAGTGGGCACTCAGGAGAAATGCCAGTTTTGGCCCAAATTTGGTGACCTGGGTCGGAGGGACCTTTCAGAATGACCTGTTCCTGTTAGCAGATGCCGTCAAGACACCTGGCTCCGGAAGGGGGTGGGTGCCCGCATGCCAGCATCCTTCCAGGATGCACGTCTCAGAGGCATCCCTGTGGTCCCTGGGTCTGGGCACGGGGCTGAGGCACCTGGAGCTGTGGCTGGAATGTGGTTGTTGCACAGATGAGCCCTTGGGGGAGGCGCGCTGTGGCTGAGCACCGCGTCCTGGTGGTGGATCCAAGCAGGGCCGTCAACCGGCCTCCTCCCCAGAAAGTGACAACCCCTCCGCCGGGGGCAGGGGTGCTGCTCCCCGACCTCCAGGTGAATGGGCAACATGTCCATGAGATGTCTGAAGGGCAGGCTCCACTCCCGGCCCCTGGCTTCTTCCTCCCACACCTTGTCAGGGCTGCTGTGAGATCCTGCAGACGACCTGCTCCTGGCAGCCCGGCCGGGAGGATCAGCGAGCCCCGGAGAGTCCTGGGCAAAGCTGCCAGCCCCCAGGGTCTTCCGGCCAAGGGGCTCAACAGCTGGCTCAGTGGGGTCTGTCCTGGGAGGTGACAGGCGGGAGAGGAGGGAGCCGATGGGCATCACAGGGCGGCCGGCACAACTGCCCGGGGCCCTCAGGGTGACTCCGGTGAGTGAGGTTTTTGTAGGACAAGTGGTCATCACACAGACACGTTAGGAGCCGCTGGTCACTACAGCACACACAGATTAGTCGTGGTTATAAACAACGTCCCCAGGGAGGCTGGGGTGTTGGTCAGGCAAGCTGAGGAATGGGACATGCCCACTCAGCTGCCCAGTCTCCTGGCCAGCCCTGCTGGGGCAGCATGGGAGGGTGGGCTGGCGAAGGCGGCGGGAGGGGCGAGGGTGGCGAGTGGGGCGGCCCGCAGCCCCGGCCCGTCAGTAGTCTGGGCGGTGGTCTTCTCCCGCAGGTGGCCGCTGGCGCCTCAGGACTGTGGGATCTGCTGACACCTGGTAGGGCTGGGCGGGAGCCTGGCGGCTGCGCTCTGCTCCGTGCGGAAGCTGTACTCGTACTGCAGGGGTGGGTAAGGACAGAGAGACAGTCAGTCCACGGGGCACCAGGGTACCCCTCCATGGCCTCAGACCAAGGGCAGGCAGAGGCCTGGGCCACCTCGAGGGCATCCTGACATAGTGCAGCTGGCCAGGCCGGTGTCAGCTGGAGCCTGCCCTCTGCTGGCCCTCATGGGCCCCTGAGCTGTGCCTGTGAACTGTGCACGTGGCATGTGTGTGCAGACCGGCCTTTGGGGGTAACAGGCTCCTGCGGGGATGACTGGTACCCTCCACAGTCCCCGCCTGCTCCCTGCAAGGCCAGGCCTGGCGCCAGCAGTGTGCAAAGCCACAGTGCCACAGGGTCTGTGCTGAGTGTCATGGCCTCCTGCCCAGCAGGACAGTCCTCATGCCCCCACTGGTGAGGGCAGATTCTTGGCTCAACCCCAAACCTGGCTGGGGCCGGCCTCAGCCACCAGGCTCTGACGACCCCTGATATGCTGGCTCTGCTGAAGCAAGGACCGATATCAGGTGGTGCCCAGGGACAGGAGGAGGGCCTCCACAGTTGTCCCTGGCACCGTCCACACCCTCCCCATGCCTTCCTCACCCTCGCTGAGGACTCCCCCATAGGCCACAGCAGGACCTTCCTCCCGGCTCAGCGCTGCTGCTGCCCTGTCTGTGAGCTCAGCCGGGCAGGGGTTAGCCCTCATGCTGGAGACCGCAGCTTCCCTAACCACCCGGGCTCGTCGAAACAAGTTCCAAGTCTGATGGAAATTTACAGAAGGGGTAAGTACCTGTGATGGGGCCAGGGGCACCTGTAGTTCACTTGGAGGCTAGGTGAGGTCTCGGTGCCCAAACATAAGGCAGGGCACATGGGCAGAGAGGGCAAGGGGCGCCCCAGCTGCAGGGAAGGGCTGGCAGCTGCCCAGCTGGGCACAGGTATAAGGTGCTGGGGCTGGGTGGGGTGTGGGGAATGGCCTGGAACCCTCCGCCAAGGCAGCCTCGTGGTCACGTGGATTTTAGGAAGCAGAAGCTTAGATTAGATCCGTGGTTGTCCAGCATTTTCGATATTAAAAAGGTTTGAGCAGTTAGAACTGCCATGAGAAGGGCCTCGCGGCAGAGCTGGAAGTGGAGCAGCCCTGCAGGCTGAGCGGACCACGAGCTGCAGCCCCTGGGGGACACCTGTGGCAGGGCAGACCAAGAAGGGAGGCCGCCAGGAACACAGTGGGGGTCACACCGCTCCAGCAGGAGGCCAAGCACTGCACCGCGCCCATACCCTGCCCACCAGGCACCCGGCCTTCCAGGCCTGGCCAGCCCTCCCTGCTGCCCAGAGTGAGCTGCCCACATCAAGGAGCCCTCCCGAGGGCCATGATAAGTGAGGAGGGCCGCAGGACTGAGCCTTCAGGGGCAGAGCGGAGCCCAAAAGCCATCCAACCGTGAAGGGGCATGGGAGGCCTTTTTTCCCTTAAAGTGGAAAACTGGTGGGGAGGCTGTGGCAGCCAGCAAGCCACAGCCCAGCACTGTGTCCATGGCCACAGACTAGCATCACGTCCACGGCCAGAGCACAGCACTGTGTCCGCGGCTGCCCCTGCTCCACGGTCCCCAGGCTGACCCAGGACAGATGGATAGAACCAGGTCTCGGACCTGAGACTGGCCCTGTCCCCGTGTGCACGGTAGGCAGAGCAGACGTGTGGCCCTCGAGCCAAAGGGAGGCCTGTTCACAGCATCTGCTGCCTGGCAGGGTGGAGAGGGAAGGGCCCAAGGCTGCAGGTGACTCAGGCAGCCTCCTCTCCTCTCCTGTCCTCAGTGCGCTCATGTCTCAGGTGGGGTGATGCGCTCACATCCAGGCCTGCCCTGAAGATGGAATGAGCGACCAGGGCCTGCCACGCCCTGGCCCTGAGCAAGTGCTCACTGAACATCTGGCTGCTCCCGATAACCCACGACACAGCACCCCCGCCCCCCCGCCCCAACTTTCCCGCTCGCTCGCGAACCCAGGCACAGGTTGCAGTCAGGGGGCCGAGGAGAGGGGCCGTGACAAAGGCTGGGAAGACACTGCCACCTGGTGGCCGCCTGGGCACATGCACGGCAGGGAACGGCAAATTCATTTCCTGGTTGGCTTCATCGGCCCCCACTGACATCCGCCCTGCCGTCGGATCCCAGGGTAGCAGAGGAGGGGTGTGCGCATGCTAACACAGCCCAGCACAAAGGCCACCTCCGAGGGCACAAGCACGGGGCGTGGGGACCACAGGGAATAGCAAGGAGGGCTTCGGGGGGAAGGGGGCAGTCACATCTTGAAAGCAGATCCCCACTGGGGAAGGACATTTGACAGCACCTACAGCAGTAGGTGTCAAGATGCAGAGGAGAGTACCATGGGCAGACGCCTGTGGGGACAGCGGGGCTGAGGGCCTACCGCATGGTTAGGGCATTAGCCCCAGTTCGGGAGAGAACATGCAGCAGGCTTTTCAACCCAGAACACACACCAATCCGCACACTAATCCCCTGAGGTCCTGGTCAAATGCAGATTCTGGCTGGGTAGGTCTGGGACCAGGCCTGAGAATCTGCATTTCAAGTAGCTCCCAGGTAGCCCCATGCTGCTGGTCTGGGGACCAGTTGAGACAATTCTACGACCCAATCACTGGAACCTGGGAATGGGCGTGGACCTGGATGGGCTGAGAGGGAAGGGCCAGAGACCACGTGATGTGCTGAGAGGGGCTGCGGAAGGTCTGGTAGAGGGGTAAGGGGAAGAACTGGGGGAGGGGTGGGACATGGCATGCAAGAGCTCCGCTTTGGACGCTCCAAGGCCATGCCACGGAGATGCCTGCGGAGGCGAAGCGACTCTCAGATGACAGAAGGGGAAAGCCCAAAGCCCGGCTCCTGCAGGGCCGTGGAGGCGCTGAGGGAGGCATCCAGCTGTGCCCTTCTGCCCCTTCAGTAGGCCTTGCTGTACGTGCTGGGCCGGGCTCCTGGGGGTGGCAGGGAGTGCCGAGGGCTGGCTGGCCACTGAGACCAGGTGAAAGGTGGCTGCAGCCTCAGCCCAAGTGTCCACAGCCAGAGGGCCCGGGCCTGGAGGGGGCTTTCTGGACGGGGATCGGGGGAGCAGGACACTTCCACGTCTGTGTGAGCAACTTGCTGATCAGGCCAGTCTCTGTGGCCAGGAGTGGGGTCAGGGTCGTGGAGAGGGCCAGGGTCGTGGAGAGGGCATGGCTGCGCCCTCCCGGCTGGGCTGAGCTCCCGTCTCCGGGCCCGAGGGTTGGGGGAGGACGGGAAGGCGCTCCTTCCTGCTTGCACCGTGCCGGTGACCGCGAGGGCGCGCAGATTGCGCCCCCACCCTCTCTCCCTCGGGATTTTTTTCCCTTTTTAGGTTATCTTGGCTGGAGAAAAGCGCCACCCTCCCCCCTCTTGTTTTCCCTAACTCCCCAAATGAAATTTCAACATATGTCCCACGACATAATCCCCTCTGGCTGCGGCCGCCTTCCCGCAGACGCGGTCCCTGCCCGCTCCTCCCGCCGTGTTTACCCAGGAGACGGGGCCGCTTCTGGAAGCCCTTTCACTCCCTTGGGCAAACAGCGAGTACCTTTGAAGGTGGATTTGGACCCGGATCTGTTTACTCAAGACATTAGTCTCCTGCATAAGGAAAACCTGCACTCGCGAACAAACAGCAAATCCTTTTTGAATTAAAAAAAATTTCAATTAAAAAGCATTTGGTCCGCACAGCCCGGTCCAGCTGCGCAGCGCGAGGCCCGCACCCTCTGGTGGGCACAGGCCGCCACTGCAGCAGCTCGGCAGCCCCGGCCTGCGGCCTCTCTCGGGAAAGAGATGTCACTGTCAGGGGCTCTGCCAGGGGTCCCGGAGACCCTGCCACTGACAGCAGCAGGTGTCTCAGGCCGTGGCGCGAGAGTCTCAGCTTCTAAAAGCCTTTTCTCACAGTGAGGCCAGTGTCCTGCGGTAGGAGGTGCCGACCGCAGCTTCCAGCAGAAGCTGGGAGGCAAAGTCACTTCAGCCCAGCTTTGGGGCAAAGAGGTGGCGACAGAACCTACTGGTCTCCTCACAAGCATTTGTGCGAACGGGCTTGAGAGTGGAAAGGATTAGCCCTGGTTACGCGTCAGAATCCAAGGCTTTGAGCACAGTGATGCATGGGCCCCACCCGGGGTTGTCGGGAGTGGTCCTGGCTTAACCGGCTGGGGGTTTTTGAAAACACTGGGTGATTTCAGTATTAACTGCACCCCTCGCCACAGAAGGGAAGCAAGTGTGCTGCCCCTCCAGCTCCTCCCTCCTCCCCTCACCAGGTCTCATAATGAGCACTCCAGAGGGCTCCAGACGAAAAGGGAAGGAGCTGTTCCCAGCACCCAAGGAGGAAACTGAAGCCCAAGAAAGGACCTGACTTCCTGAGTTTCCAGAGTCAGCCGGGCAGCGCTGGACCAGGCCTGGACCCGGAGAGGTGCAGGGGGCCGGTGCTGTGCTGGCTGGGAAACCGGCATGAGGGCAGGCGTCGGCACCCAGCTCTCCTGCGGCACAACTCCAGCATGGGGGCCAGACAGACAGACGTGAGCTGATGAGCTCATGGGTGAATCGTGGCAGGGCCTGGAAGGGTGTAGTCCAGAGGGCAGGGAACGGGCCAGGCCAGGTGAGGACAGGCGGAAGGGAACTGAAGGGGCCAAGGCTGGGCCAACGAGAAGAGTCTGGTGCAGGGGTGGCCAGACACCGATGGGTGGGCTTGGGCAGGCAGAGGGGCCTGGCCCTAGCACCTGCCGGGAGAGGTGGGGGAGGTTCTGCATGCAGCCCCACCTGTCTGCTGCTCCACCCCCGCCCCTCCCCTGCTCAGCACTCCAGTCACTCCCCCCATCTCAGGCATTCCCACGGCCTCGGCCACAGTCCTGGCTCTCCTCTGTCTGTAAAATCCTAAAGCCTCAGTTTCCTCGCGCAGGGGGTTCCATGTGCTCATCTGTTTCCTGAAGATGAGGAATGCAGGCCTGGCTTCTGACACGCTGCAGGAGGAGAGAAGCCGGAGCCAACACAGTGCCCATGT